GGAATTTTACTGACGATGGAGATAAAGCCGCAGTTTCAGGGCGAGTGCGTAAAACACGAGCGGCCTCCGCTGGGTGTCGCTAAAAGCTCTATCTGTTTCGCGCGCCGGAGGGCGACAGCGGTCCGCAGGTTTCCCCATCCGGCACCCCGCCCCCGCGCCCGCCCCCGCCCGCCCGCCCGCCCGCGCCCGCCCCGCGCCCGCCCCGCGCCCGCCCCCCGCCGCCCCCGCTCCCGCCCCGCGCCCGCCCCCCGCCCGCCCCCCCCGCGCCCCCGCGCCCGCCCCGCCCCGCCCCCGCGCCGCCCCGCGCCCGCCCCGCGCCCGCCCCCGCGCCCGCCCCCGCCGCCCCGCCCCCCGCGGCCCGCCCCCGCGCCCGCCCCCGCGCCCCCCCGCGCCCGCCCCGCGCCCGCCCCCGCGCCGCCCCGCGCGCCCCCGCGCCCGCCGCGCCCGCCCCGCGCCCCGCCCCCCGCCGCCCGCCCGCGCCCGCCCCCGCGCCCGCCCTTCCGAAGGACAAGTGAACAACGCCGGCCGTTTAGCATGTATTAGCGCGGGGGCGTAGATCACGGGCGTAAAAAGCGTGCGACCGGGCCATGCATCTCGGGGGCTGTGTTACGCCTCCGCGTCGTGCGAGGCCGTGAGACTGGGGTGGGGGGCGGGCGGGGGAGGGCACACGTCGGCGCCGCTCGCCCGTGGCGGCTCCACGAATGCGCCGCCGCCAGGCACTTGTCGCGCTGCCACGCCGCTGCGCAGTGGGCGAAAGCAATCAAAAGCTGGTCGATATCGCGCGAATATTTATTTTTCCTGCAAAGCGCTTTGTCAAATTGCCATAATTATTGTCTATATAGATCTGATTTCACTTTTAAAACTGTTAATAAAATAGAAATATTATATTGCATGGTGTGTCAAGTAGATTGGAAACTTGTAATATATTTTATTTTTCCAGTGATCTTATCTATTCGTAATGTATTTGAACATTCTCTTACGAAACTCTGTAAACGTCCTCTTATTCCTGATCAGTTAGTTTAAAGAAAGGGAAAGATGAATTATATTTAGAATTATGTAGTACAAAATGTCATCATCTCTTGATTTGTCCGCTCCTGCATTCTGGGTTAACCAAATTTAGAATTAAGCATGGCAATTAATAGCGAAAAGTAAAACGATTAATTGTCATCAACTTCCGTTCAGAAACTGAATTTATTATGACGAAAGATATTGTGATGGCTCTTTTATCGAGCGAATAAAACAGGAAGCTTACTGAGAAGTTGATATTGTGAGCAGAATAATTTTAAAATATCAAGTTTTGAAATTTTATTGAATTGAAATTGCGAATTGAGCGGTCCATAAACTTTCTCAAGGCAGCTCCAGAAAATCGAATACTCTTACTTAACATATGAAGTCGGTGTTCAATTTGTATGACGTGATGTACAGATTTTATGTGAATTTCTTCTGCCTGCTTCAAAGAATACACTAAGGAAGATTAACACTTTTTGAGTTACTATTGCGCGAAGTACAGAAACTCGTATATGATGTTCAAGATTTAAGGGCTTACCAATCAATTTTCAGCAGTTTGAGGGCCCTGTAAATCCTGTCAGTCTCTTTATAGCTGTGAAGAACGCGCAACGGCGTTTGTTTGAGTGTAATTCCATAGTCAGTGAGCGCTTGCAGGTATAATGACGGATCTGAAAATACCCCTCCTCAAAACCGGCTTACGCGAGTAGGTACAACAAAATAAATTGCCAGTAGGAGATAATAGTATAAATTACTTGGTTGTAGTCGTTCTTGAGGTACGTCATCTTCGTATATCATTTTATTCCATTTCTCGTTTCTACGAAAATTGTTAATTGGACATCCTACAGAATGCTATTAACCAGTTTCTACTAATAATAGGTATCACAATTGAGGAAGAAAAGCAACAAAACTATGCATTTTGAGACATCGTATCTCATTACGAAGATATTGCGAGAGAATGCAGGGGAATGCACACTCATTACAGAGTTTAAACGAAGTTGGTATCCTCTGTACTTAATTCCTTTTCGAATATCTGTAGTGTTTATTGAATTGAAGGGAGAGTGTGAAAGGGGAAGAGAGAAAGATAGGAGAGGGGGAAGGCGGAATTAAACCAACACAGATGTTATTGTAATACGTGAAGAATTTAGAACCCTGAAAGCACACTGATGGCGTGTTTTGCCCGTATTTATATTTCGTGAGCCGACTGCCCGCCATTGGCGCTGTCCACTCCGTTCTTCGCCGCCGCCTTCACCTCGCTCGCCCCCTCCTCCTCCACCCCTCGCCCGGTTTTTGCCGCGTCCGCCCTCGGGCGCAAGAAGCGCCCCCGAAGATGGATCACCCGCCGCGCTCTCCTCGCCGGCGCGGCCGCCGGCGGCGTCGGGCGATCGCCCGGGCGACGAGCGCAACGGGCCGCCGAAAACCATTCGGTGACGCGACGCCTGGAAAACGCCTCCCGCTCAGCACGCGCTCTGTTCGCCCTTGCTGCCTCTGTCTGCCCATCCATTCACCCACTCAACGCTCGGATATCTAGGACTCACCCTCCTACTCGATTCACCCACACAACCACCCTTCGTCCTCCCTCGCCTCTTCAAGTCGTCCGCTCAATCTATGTTCTCCCTTGCTTCTAAAATGTTTGTGCACCCATTCACCCACCAACCAACCGCTGGGCTATATACTCATCCACCTTTTCAAGTCACCCACCCTCTCTTCGTCCTCCGTTGTCTCTTCAATGCCTCTTCACCCAATCACCTCTTCAAGTCATCCACCCAATGTTTTCCCTTCCTTCTCCAATGTTTGTTCACCCATCCCCCCACACACCGCTGGGCTATCTACACACCCACCTTTTCAAGTTGCCCTCCCTCTCTTCGTCCTCCCTTGTCTCTTCAATACCTGTTCATCCATCCACCTCTGCAAGTCGTTCACCCAGTCTATGTTCTCCCGTGCGTCTTCAATTCTTGTTTACACATCCACCCACCCACCGCTGGGCTATATACTCACCCACCCTTTTCAAGTCATCCAAGTATCTTCGATCTCCATTGCCTCTATTACAAGCGTTCACACAGGGTCTAGAAAGGCAGTTGATCCTCCAATAGTTTATGAGGCCCCATAACCCTATGTAATAACATTATTTTCATAAATTATATTGAATTCATTATTTTCCCCTTTTCAAGCTAAAAATTTGGGAAACATAGAGACGATTGGATTAGAGACTCTTCAAACCACGTTGCAACCCTCTTAATGGTTTAACATCAAATCATATGTATTTGATTATTTTATCATTAAATTTATAATTTCCTTTTCCTTGAATTGCGCTGAATTTTTTTACCAATAAAATACGTACCATATTTCAATTTCATATGTAAATCAAATTTTTTAATGGAAATGAGGGCCATGGGAACCCCGAGGGGTTCAGAAATGTAGTGGGCCCATCTTGTTTTAGTCTACCTGTGCTGCTTATCTATTCATTCACCCACCGCTCGGTTATCCATCTTCTCATCCACCTATTCAAGTCTCCCACCCACTCTTCACGTCCCCCTGGGCTCTCCGATCGCATGTTTACCCACTCACGCTTCTGATCCCCCTTGTCGCCCGAAATGCATTTAACGTGTCCCGAGTCAAACAAGAGGACGCGCCGCTGGAAAGGCCTTCGCGACGGGGCGACTAAATGTCGCACGACGGACGTGTGAACCCGCATAAGAAAGGTGCTTGTTTCCCTTCCTGGGAAGCGCGCCCTGGCGGTCGGGAAGGCTATTTCTGGACCACGCTGCTCGCCGCCTGACGGGTTGATGGGGCTGAAAGGGGTCGTTCCGGTCCCCCCCATTTTCTTGCCTCGTAAATATACATCCTGCCTTCCGGAGATAGTGAGCGTGTACTAAAATAAATGCACGTGTCACTCACGAGGATTTTAGATGCTTCTGCTTCCAGGGTTGCAAATTGTTCACGTATTGCGATAACATCTGTGTTGTTTTATTATTGTCCATTGAATATGAGACTCTATAAAACTTTTCTTTTAAATGTAGTCAACTTTTAAAATGCGTAGTATTTGCAAAATAATAATCCCAGTGCAAATACGTTCTAGGGAAGTGTTTGCAGCGAGTAAATGCAAATGTAGGCGGATTGTAAATAAAGAGAGAATGTGTAACGTTAATCACTGAAACATTCTATTGTTTTTGCCTTCATCCTGTCACGCGAGCGCTGTTAATCTCCTCCCTTTCATATATCAAAGTGTATGGTTATGTGACTGTATGACTGTGATGACTTAATGTTCATTTATCACAGCCCTCCATTAGCGCATATATTACAGACGTTTTTAGCAGCTGGCGTATTTGGACTTCAGCAGTGGCCTTTATATTATTCTGCACGAAACCTATTCTCAATCCCTCACTTTTGGATGTGTTTATATTTACAGTTTCTTTAAAAGAGCTCTAGAAGTCATTCAATGTTTTGTGTCACTGAAATGTTCGATTTATACTATTCAATTGCAAATAGCAAAACTTGTTTATGAATTCCCGTTATTTATCACATTATTTTTTAGATGATATACGATTTCTAAAATGTTTGCTTATTTGCTAAAAATAATTGATTATTTCTCTACTGAAAATGTATTATATACCAGTGCACATATATGCTTTATGTTATATAAACATGACTATAAATATTCACTCGCGACAATCACTGGTATTCAGAGGAAAGTGTTGCATTCTTTGCACACCATGCTGCATTTCGGATGAATTGTTTAATTGTATTTTACAAAGCACTATAAGAATAATTCATTCTCCGTCCACCACAGTACTAGATTTTACTCTTTCAGCGTCAGTACGTTTCAATCCTCGTAGCAGTGGTGTGTAAAAATGCGCTTCTCTGTGCGCAAAGCAGTCTTCTGCGGCGCGTCTTCTTCCGCCGGCGCCCAGCGAGGGCGTCAGGAGCGGCGGCGGCGCAGGTGCGGGCGGTGCGCGCGACCATAAAGCGCGTGCGCGCGTGTGTGTGTGTTGCAGTACATGGGCTCGTTCCCCGTGGCCGGCCCGGACCAGGCGTCGCGCGCCGAGTACATGCGGGCGCAGCTGCACCAGCTGCGGGTGAGTTGGCGGCCGGCTGGCGCGCGTCCCCTCCCCTCCCCTCCCCCACACCCTCCCCTTTCAGGGGAACGGCCGATGAAAGGTAGATCTTCGGCCGCCGAGATCCCGCCGAAATCAAATATTTTTCCACAGAAAAATATATACTAACCTGATAACAACTTCCCCCATAGTACTCACATAGTTTTTAAACAGTTGTTTGACAGTTAAATTAAAAATCATTGGGCCGACTAAAGTAGTAGTAATTACTTCAATAGGCTGTACGGGTGATCGCCAGCGTCGTTTGCAGATAGGCGAACGTTTCGCCTTCATAGTCGCAGGGCTTCTCCAGAGTAAGTGACTACTACCAAATGACCCTGACTACACTGACTACACTACCCTGAAAAGAAGCCTGCGACATTGACAGGCGAAAAAGTCGGCCTATCTGCCCACCGACGCCGCGTCACCCGGACAGCCTAGAGTAATGTGGACTCGAGCCGCGGAAGCCTACGTGTACATTAAAAGTAAGTAGTGCTGTTGCGGAGTTTTGGAATGGTTTCCAAAAAACGTCAGTGATTCGCGACACCAGGGACCACCGGCTCGTACCCGGACGTTACATTAAAAAATGAAATTCAAAAAACTCTCCAGTTTGGGACGCTGGATTGTTTTTTGACATTTATTAAAGCGAATTGGTTCGTGAGTACCAATGCTTGGCCGGCCGTACGCCTTCAAGTAGAGAGGAATGTTTTCTGGAGCCTGTATGTGGCGTTCCCTGCGTCAGGTTTTGCCAGATACTTCGTACAAACTTCCCGCCGATAGATGGGTGTTAAATTCGGCCCAATTTTCGCCACGGAGAAAAAAATCAATGCTTTAAGCGAGAAATTTGAATTTAAATAATTTGGTTGCTGAAGATATTTTACCGGAGTGACTGCTATGAAAAGTTGATTTAGTTTAATTTCTGTTTGTGAAACATTGTAATTAATAAATTAATACAAACTTATACTTTTTTGTTATAATAAGTTATATCTAATATTTAAAATTTATAACTTCTTATGACTACAGCAGATGGGGGGGATAATGTATGGCGAAAAAGATTTCCCCACTTTCCATTTTACTCTATCTCTCTCGTTGGG